CGCAGAAGCTGTTACTTAGTCTCTGAATTTTACCCCCTCACTCACTGACAATATCTGAGCCTGCACGCCCCCGTGCCCCCTACCATGGATACCCCAAATTGGTGAATTTGGTTCACAGCCTCAAAAACAAAATTTTCTTTGCTGTTCTTCCTTTTTGCTTCTAGTAAAAGAGTGTGTGTGTGTGAACAAGCTGTTTTCACATTCACCATTGCTGTCTTTTCGCTCCTTCTCTATGTATTTTGTGATTTGTCTCTTGCGCTTTTTTCTTTTTCAAATGATTTTTTGGGGGTCCCACTTGGTGGTGCTCAGGGCTATACTTCTGGGTCTGTGCTAAGGGGTCACTCCTGATGGGGGTCGTGGGACCATATCTAATGCTGGGAATTGACCCTGGGTTGGCTACATGCAAGGCAAGCACTCTACCCTGCACTATCGCTCAGGCTTTTTGAGTTGAAACCTTAGCTTATTATTTGCAGGCTATTTTCCCCTCAAAGAGTCACTTTAAAAGCGAAGCAGAAGTTGGATAAACAGCGCTTGTCACTCAGTGCCAAGCAGATCCCACTTTCCCCTTTAACTAGAATGAGCGTCTAACGTCTCAGCCCTGCCGAGTTGCCTTTGATAGTGGGTGAAAGGGAGGGCTATTCGTTATTACTCAGGGATGACAGATAGAAAGTGGGTCTTGCCCATACAAATCAGATGTATGTCCAGCCATGAATTATTTAAGAGTGCATTTTGGTTTTCAATTACTTCGAGGTCAGAAATCCGTCTGTGTGACAAAGCCCAGAGCTTGCTGGAGCTCCCCGGTGACCTGGTGACAACCAGTGTGAGGAGATATCCCTTCATGGGCGGGGGCAAACTGTTCTTCAGGGCCCACATTCTCACAGATCATGTGAGTTGTCGTACTGTACAGAGCTTCCTAATTCTTCATCATGTGTTTTTGTTGTTGTTCTCTTTGTTTGTTTATTATTTTCTGATAGAGAAATTCAAATTTGTTATTGTGGATTTTGAACATTTTTCTCACAAACTGTCAATTTTGTATGAGATTTTTGTATGTGGTTAGATGCTTATACTATTATTACGTCAGGTTCCTATATTATTAAGAAAGTTTTACATTTCTATCAATTTTTAATTATGCATGTTCTGGCCACTTTCTTGTCTACCCTGTTCTGCTATTTGAACCTCTCTGTTTTGGGTGTACCCTAAAAAGCACATCCCTAGACGAAAACAACATAATACTGACAGTCTGAGTTTCTCTTTGAAGCAAGTAGTTTTATCTATTTACAATTATTGTGATCAACAAGTTGTCTTAGTTGTTGTGATCAACAACTTGTCTTTCTCTTTGTTTTGTTTTAGTTTTTGGTTGGTGCCCAGTGGTGCTCAAGGGCTAGTTCTGGCTCCATGCTCTGGGGTCACTTTCAGTGGTGCTGGGGGGCAATGTCGTGCCAGAGATGGACCTGGCCTCCTGCGTGTGGACTTTACATTCAGCTGTTTGAGCATCTCCCTGGGCTTGTCTTTCACTTATTTTGTGCTTTTTATTTCCCATGGCTGCTCTTTAATCCTATTGTGTTGCTTTCGATGGAACTATTTGGGCTTCCATTTTTCCTATTCCCTTCTCTACTTGATCAGAAAGTCTATCTTCAGTAAGGTATTTTTTCTCCATAATTTTATTTATTTTTTTCTTCTTATATTTATTTATTGAATCACTGTGGGAAAAGCTACTAAGCTTTGAGGTTTAAATCTCGGTCATACAATGATCAAACACCTCTCCCTTCACCAATACTCATTTTTCACTACCAAGAACCCCAATATACCCCCCCATACCCCTCCCAATGCCTGTGAGGGAGATGATTTCCACTTAACTCTTTTCTACATTGATTACATTCATTATTTCAACAAAAGATGCACCATTATTGTTTAGAATTCCCCCCACCCCCACCCACAACAATCAGAATTGCTGAGAAGGCATTGTGAAATACTTTGTTTTCTATAGCTGGTTATGAGAATCATATAATGTCGCGTGGCTGCGGTAGGAGCCGCGCGATTTTGAATTTCTGCAAAGAGCCAGATAATTACGAGATTGGTTTATGTGCGTCTGGTGTTGTGGCTATGCCAGAGAGCCACTCGTGGGGGGCAACTCGTGACCTCGGTAGGGCATGAAGGACGAGCCGGTACCGCTCCCCTTCCCATGAGACTGCAGTTGCCCCGTCACCGCCGGCTCATACCTGGCTTTTCTATAAGCTCTGAGGCAGCGGCCACCCAGTAAAGTATCTTTAAGTTTTCTGAATGAATGACTGTGAGTTCAAAGAGCGTGGGTGCACAGGACGCATGTGGTGAGTGGCCGAGAGTCGCTTCCCCAGGTCGGTTGATGGTGACAGATAGATAAAAGAATGGGGAGGTAGACTGGCTGTTGGTCGGGCCATTAATTTCTCTCTCTTCTCTCTTACAGCTTCATTCTCCTGCAGCATAGTTGCTTCCTCCTACTCTTTCTCCTCTCTTCCACCATAGTTATTTTCTCCCCCTCCCTCCTTATAGCTTCATCTCCTACAGTATAGTTATTTCTTCTCTTACTGCATAGTTATATCTCCTTCTGCCTAGTTATTTTTCCATACAGCATAGTTATATAGAAATCATGACGGGTGGGGTACACATAGGTGGGGTCGAACACTGTTATAGCAACAAACAGAGATAAAGCCCCTCCTTGGTAGGGGGGGGGGAAGTTCTAGGAGATTAACTCAAGGACAAAATCTCATCTGAGGGTTCAGCACTCCAGATTACTAGGAGATCCTCTCAAGGGTGGGTTCCATCCAGGGTGTGTTGCTTTCTCCTTTCCTCAGCTAGTAATCCACTTAAACAATCATAGTGAATTTACTTCTTACAATATCTCTTAGCATTTTGTATGAACACAGTAAGTGAGATAGTAAACTTAAAGGGTGTCTCTTCCTGGGGACATCTTGTTATATATCCCAGACTACAGTTCTCAGTCCAGGTTAGTCTTTCCTAACTACAGCAGGGTCCTTATTCAGTTACTTCTTTTTGGATCGTGACAGGGTTTGTCCATGTTGTGTTCTTGACTTATTATATTTTTTACGGCTCTTAGCATGTTCCTTTCCGATGTCAGGGTAGCTTACAGCTTGCCCTGGGTCCACCCTTATCCCTTGCCTCCTCGTTCCTTTATCTATCTGTCCCTACTTTGGGGGGTGTTAGGAATTAAGGGCAACTGAGGCTTAAGTCAAGTAAATATGATGGATGCCCAGGAGTAAATATTATTTGGAGTCAATTAACTCCCATGTTACAAAAGCATAGCATTAGCTGTCTTCCTGTATCTATATAAAAAGGCCATTGCTAAACCAGGTGAAGGACATAAAGAGAAAAGCAATACAGGATTAGGAGTGCCTGATGGAATTGGGTGTGCCTTAGGAGCACTGCTGTGGGAGTAACTCAATAAACCTAAACACCCTGCGGGAGGAGCAAGGACAAACTAATGGTATTCAACAAATGACAAAGTTTAATTCCTTTCACGTCTATTTCTCCCTTTCTGATAGAACTGCGGGCTGTTAACTTCACATCCCGGTGAATCCACAATCATTGTTCCCCTCCTTTTGTCAAGCCCTTTGCCATTAAGGTGTGAGGAGGAATTAAAAAACTTTTTATTTTGCTTTTTGGGTGCCACATCTGGCAGTGCTCAGGGGTTACTCCTGGTCCTGCACTCAGGAGTTACTCCTGGTGGTGGTCACGGGACCCGATGGGATGCCAGGGATGGAACCCAGGCTGGTGCATGCAAGGCAAACGCCCTCCCCACTGTCCCAGTGCTTCGGCCTGGAGGAGGAATCTTTATTCAGTGAGGGAACAGTGACTTTCCAGGCCCATTTATTCTGTACAGCTTTTGTCCTGAGTCTGTACCTCTGACAAGCCTCTCTTCTTTCTGGCTGCTCATTCTGGTCACAGCTGGAAAAGGCCTTAGAGAACACCGGAAACAGGAGAAGTTTAGAAGGTAAGCATCGTGACACTCATAAGACTGAAGTCAGTGTAGTCTGGGGAAATGCAGGTGGAGCCCGGCATAGTGCTGGAACAGGCAGGAAAGTTTCTTCAACACAGGAGGGAATTTTCTTCTTTTGTTTGTTTTGTTTTTTGTGTTTGGGTCATACCCAGTGGTGCTTGGAAATCATTCCTGGTGGGCTCAGGGGACCTTATGAGCCACTGGGATTGATCCTGCATTGGCCGTGCAAGGAAAATGCCTGCCCACTGTACTGCTGCCCTGGGGGGGGGGGAGGGTTAATTTCCCTGAGATCAGTGAGGGGCTTTACTGGGAGCTCTGTGATGATGGGTTGGGGGTGGGCAGAGCCGTTCCAGGGTGCTGCTTTACTACATTTGGCACAAGCAGGTGGGGACCCTGCCTGGGAAGGGACCTGGGAAGAGGAGCAGGGAGGGTGGGACGGGGAATGGGGTTGGGGGGCTGTGAGTAAGAGTCTGAGGAGGTGGGTGCTCATTACATGAGGGCTCCCCGCTGTGGGGGGCTGCCTTTATTGGGCTCTTCTGGCCACCCCCAGGGGTTTTGCCTGTGCCGTGTATGAAGCTGCAGCACGGTGAGGAGCCTAAGAGGCCCCAGCCGGACACTGATGTCCCGCTGACCCTCCTGGCCTGGCACTCAGCCCTTCCCTCTGGAGAAGCTGTGGTGGGCCCCGGGCCCGAGCTGCCTCTCCGGGGTAAAGTAAAGCCGAGGACCGGGGGAGGCCAGGACTCAGGAGGAGCCGTAGGCAGCCTCGCCCAGCTGGGGGGCTCCCAGGACGCCCCCAGCACGCAGAGACAAGACTCCCATGGCTTGTCCCGCCCAGCTGGGTTGCAGGGAGCGCGGGGCGGGGCCTAGCGACGGCGGGAAGCCCCGCCCCCGAACCTGGCCACGCCCTCTGCAACAAGCCCCGCCCACCAAAGCCGGCCCGCCCGCCCGCCCACCCGCCCGCCGCGGGCTCCGCCCCCCACTGGCCCCGCCCATCCAGGGCGGAAGCGGAAGTCGCGCGGGCCGTGCGGAAGCCGGAGGCGCCGGGGCGGAGCGCGGCGGGGGCTGCGCGGCCATGGCGGAGAAGTTCGACCACCTCGAGGAGCACCTGGAGAAGTTCGTGGAGAATATCCGGCAGCTCGGCATCATCGTCAGCGACTTCCAGCCCAGCAGCCAGGCGGGGCTCAACCAGAAGCTGTGAGCGCGCGGCTCGGCCGGCGGGGGCGGTGGGGCCGGGGGTGGGCCGGGGCCGGGGCCGGGCCGGGGTCGGGCCGGGGCCGGGCCGGGGTCGGGCCGCGGCCGGGGGTCGGTGTGAGCCGGGCCGGGGACCGGACTGGGCCGGGGTCGGGGGTCGGGCAGAGCCAGGCCGGGGTTCGGGCTGAGCCGGGAGTCGGGCTGGACCGGGAGTCGGTCAGACCGGGGCCGGCGTCGGGCTGGGCCGGGGTCGGGCTGGGCCGGGGTCGAGCTGGACCGGGGGGTCGGGCTGGGCCTCGGCCGGGTCGGGGCGACCTCCGCTCGCCTGCACGCCCCCTGCCCGCCGGCGCTGCCCCCTCTCCCCTCGGGCCCTGGCCCGGGTCTGGTGGGCCCCGCTGGGGGGTGGCATGGGGGCCTCTCCCGGGCACGTGGGCCGGGTCCTTCCCCCCCCCCCCCCCCCAGCGTGGCCCTGCAGAGCCCAGACGCGGAGGAATGCAGGGTTTTGTTACTTGCAGATAAAATGTGCATTTTGCAGTGGCCTTTCACGGCAGAGGCCCCCGAGAGGGGCAGAACGCAAACGCACAGTTCCGTAGGGCTGCAGGCTTAAACGCATCCCACGTTCCACCCTGTGCAGGGCAGCGGGGCTGGGGGTGGGGGCTCATTCACTTGCGCCGTGGGGAGGGATAGCCTCATCTCCCGGTTAACGGCCGCCCCGTTTTCGCCTGTCTCCCAGGAATTTCATCGTCACTGGCTTGCAGGACATCGACAAATGCAGACAGCAGCTCAATGACATCACTGTGCCTTTAGAGGTGTTTGAGTAAGTGCTGGGTCCTGCCTCAGGGTCAGCTGGGGGGTGGGGGTGGGTGGGACAGGGCAGGGGTGTCTCCGCCCTGGGTCTTGCTCTGTAACAGGAAAGGGATCTCAGGTGTGAGACACTGGCCCAGCGGACACTTGCTGTGGGCCTTCCCAGTTCTCCTGGAGAGTTACGGTGTCTCTCCTGGGCTGTCTGTCAATAAAGTCACGGCCAGAAAGGACTCGGAAAGTGTCATGCCCCAGACTGGCTGTGGGAGGAGGCTAGTTCCTCAGGATGCCCCTTCTGCCTGCTCTGTGTGACAGCTCAGGTCTGGTCCTCACCTTGGAAGGCCCTGACAGCTGGTCAGCGTCGGGAGCCGGGAGCTAGTGTCAAGTTGGTTCATCCTGGGCATCGTTTGTTTCCTCCTGGGCTGTGGGGCAGGCCTGGTCAGCAGGGGCAGGCCAGTATATGTTTTTCTTTCGGGCACACCCAGCAGTGCTCAGGGTTTACTCCTGACTCTGCTCTTGGTGGGGCTTGGGGGACCATAAGAGGTGCCAGGATCGTCCCCTCCCCCCCATCCGTGTGCGACACAGGCAGGCAGCTTCCGACCCCCTGTTCTCTCCCGCTGGCTGGAGTCTTGTGCTTATTCGTTCTAGTGCCAAGTGTGGATCCTCGTTTCCTTGAACAGGACCAGCAGCCGCTCCCACAAGGTCTCCAGCCCTGCCGTGGCCCACTGCTGGGCGGCCCTCAGCCCCCTCCTGTGAGGCTGGTGGGAAGGGGGCCCTGGCCTGGACTGAGCGGGAGGGATGGTTCAGGGTGAGGCGTGGGGAGCAGGTCCTGCATATATGACGCGGAGCCTGGGGTAGGCGGAGGCACCGGAGCCAGCCCAGCGGCAGGCAGGGGGTTTGCTTGGGCCGTCCCTGCCCTGAGCGCTGGCAGCAGTCACTCCGTTTGCATTTTGCTTTTCTACTTTTTTCTTTTTGGCTTGGAGCGATAGCAAAGCGGGTAAGGCATTTGCCTTGCACATGGCCAACAAGACCGACCTGGGTTCGATTCCTCCGCCCCTCTCAGAGAGCCCGGCAAGCTACCGAGAGTATCTTGCCCGCATGGCAAAGCCTGGCAAGCTACCCGTGACTTACTGAATATGCCAAGCACAGTAACAACAAGTCTTACGATTTGTTGTGAGATGTTTCTGGTGCCCGCTCGAGCAAATCGATGAACAGTGGGAGGACAGTGCTACAGTGCTACTTTTTTTTCTTTTTAAAATAAATAGCCGGGATTTGGTTCATAATTAGTCATGATTTTTCTTCTTCCCATCGTTTCAAAGCCGTCAGAGTAGAATTCCCTAGAATTTGTGATTTACTCGCTGTTTGTCATCATTAAAAGCCAGTTTTGGTGTCATTAATAGTAACTTAATAGGGTCTTTCATCCAAAGTGATGGTGTGTTTTCTGCTTCTGTAGGAAAAAAATCAATGGGATGGAGTGTGGGGTGGTGCTTTTGTGTCTTCATCAATAATTCAGTTCCACTGATGATTGAAGATAATAAAGTTGGGTTTCAGGCTGCAGGGCCTCTGTCGCTGAGGTGAGGCTCTGGGCCGCGGCAGGGTGGAGTTGCAGACAGCCGCAGGGGACATACTGGGGATCAGAAATCCTTGGGGGACGTGTTCAACTTGTTCCCTGTGTGGTTTAGTAAGGGCACCTGTGTGATAACCTGGCTCGGGGCTCCCCCCGGGTTCCTCTCCTTTTCCCCTGCAGCCAGGGCTGCTCCTGAGGGTTTCCCAGGGGACCCCACGCGGGCTGTGCCTCTTGGTGGTCATGCCGGGCTGCCTGGCTCAGCGGGGTGTGTGTTGGAGGGAGCACTGGCCGTAGGGTCTCCGTGTAGGAGTGCTGCATGCTGCAATCCTCATCTCCGGGTCCCTGCGGGCCATGGGGTTTGCCTCTGTTAATGGGGGCGTTTCCCGTCTGCAGGTACATCGACCAGGGCCGGAACCCCCAGCTCTACACCAAAGAGTGCCTGGAACGGGCGCTGGCGAAGAACGAACAGGTCAAGGGCAAGATCGACACCATGAAGGTAGCCGGACAGAAGGGCTGGCGGGGCCCCGGGTGGGGAGGGCGAGTGCCTGTGAGGGGGCCAGCCTGTGTCGCCGGGGCCTGTGCTTCCATGTGGTTTCATCGTTTCCAGCGGAGCACCAAGTCAGGGGCTCGGGGTTGGGGGGAGTGGGTGTGGGGGACAGGGCGGGGCCTGGCCCATTGCCTCAGGGCTCTGCTCCTCCCCAATCCCTCCTGGGCACGTTTCCTGCCCTCCCCCAGCTCTCTGGCCGAGGAGCCTGGGTTGTCCCGTCCTGCTGTCCTTGTGCCCACGCTGGTGAGGCCTGAGCACTCACTCCTGCTGCTGTGGCCAGGGTTCGGGTGGCTTCCGGCCCTATCCTTCCATCCTCCTCTGTCCTGGTCTTTGGAGTCCCGAGGCCTCGCGCCCTCCCTGATCCCTCTGGCTGGCACTGAGCCATGCTAAGGGACTGTCCTGGGGGTTTATCTTGTCCCTCCCCGGCCTCTGGGCCTGCCCTCCTCAGCCCGGTCTTCCCTGGGGGCACAGCTGGTGTTCTTTTTCCGTCCTGTGTCCAGTGCCCTGGCTGCAGCTCCAGAGCTAGGACACGTGTCTGTCCTGGGTGTGCTCGTGGCTGTGAGGTGTAGGGGGTCAGCCGGGCCCCCAGGAGGGCAGGGGGAGTTGTGGGGTCAGCCGGGCCTCAGGAGGGCGGGCAGGGGGTGTGGGGGTCAGCCAAGACCCTCAGGAAGAGATGTGGGGGTGAGCAGGGCACTCAGGAGGGCAGGGGGAGATGTTGACTCTCACTCTGTGCCATCTTGGTGACTTGTTGGCCCCTTTGGGGTTCCGTTGCTGTTGAACGAGAAGCTGGGCTTGCCTGGGTGAGCCAGACATTCCCCAAGTGACCAGGACGCTCTGTCCCCCTCGGCTCAGCATGTATCCCTGGCTGTGTGAGCCCTGCTCTCGGTGTGGGCATTCAGGGGTCAGAACGAGTGACCGCACTTCCCCAGAAGGCCCCATTAGGGCAGGATGCGCGTCCAGAGTGGAGGGGAGCTTGGCCGGTGTGACGGCCTCCTTGCTGGCCCGAGGGGTGGGCGGGGTGGCCCCTGGGTCACGTCCCCAGCCAGCTGCTCTGACCTGCGTGTGTTCCTTCTCAGAAATTCAAGAGCCTGTTGATCCAGGAGCTCTCTAAAGTGTTTCCGGAGGACATGGCGAAGTACCGCAGCATCCGCGGGGAGGACCACCCGCCTTCCTAAGCGCCCGCCGCCTCCGCCCGGAGATCCTCTGTCCTGAGGAGTGGTCGTGACTGCCCGTGGGCCCGGCGCTTTCGCCTGGCCGTCATCAGTTGTCCCAGGCCCGCCCAGCCCGCCCAGCATGCTCCAGCAGAGGGGCGCCCCCCTCCCCTTGGAACCGGCCCCTGCTGGGACCGGGAGTGTGAGAGGAGTGCTGGGCCGTGTGTCCCGTGTCCCATGGGGGCTACAGGGTGTGTTCAGTGCAGTTGTTGAGTTGTTGATGTGAGTCTCATGTTTCAGTAATAAAGCCTTTGAGTCATCCACGGTGCCCCATCCCCTCCGGCTGGGAGCCGTGGGCTCTGCGTGTCCTGGGCCCTGCGTCCCTTGTCACCTTCCCCAGTGAAGATGGGAAAGACCCTGCGGTGCCCACTGGCAGGCGTGGCTCGAACAGTGCTTCTAGAAACTTCCACAGCCAGGCCGAGCGTGGGTGTTGGGGCGGGCTGCCCCTTCCCTGCAATTGCAGCTCTGTCCCCAGGGGATGATGAAACTCTGGGGTTCACAGCACCTGACCACCTGCCCTGTCCCCTGAGTTTACGGGGCCTGTGTTTGCCTGCACCCCAGCCCCTGCACGTGGCCCTTGGCTCCACTCCTGCTGGACACCGAGCGCTGGCCGGGTGAGTGCAGAGAGCATGACCCAGGTGTCCTTGCTGCCCACTCGGCCTGTCCCTCGGCCTCTGGTCCCTCCCTGGGGCCTCGTGTCCCTCGGGTAAGTGGCCCTGGACAGACACAGAGCCGCCAGATCTCCCTGCCCAGGACTCAGGCCCCGCTTTGAGCCCGGTGCTGCAGTTGCCAGGGACTGTCCGGGTCCAGCTGGCCCTGGCCCTGGGGGTCACGGGGCGGCTCCTGCTTCAGGAGGGGAAAAGAACGTGGGCCCGGAGAAGCCCCTGCTGCAACCAGTGCAGAGGCAGCCTCCCTCCACTCCACAGCACAGCCGCTCCTTGCCTGGGCTGCCACGGATGGGCACGGACTGATACGCACACATTGGTACACTGGGACATATGGGCGCACCTACACGCACGCAGGAAAATGGGCACAGGCTCCTAGGAACACGCATGTGCACACAGGCACGCATAAGGCGTACCAGTTCCTGCCTGTTCGCAGCAGCTGCTGCTGCGGAGTCAGAAACCGGCTAAGGGCAGAGATGGCACCCCGCTCTCCCCTGCTGTGGGCACCCCTTCCCCTGGCTCTTGGTTCTTGCCCCACCCACTTGGCCCTGGACTCCTTAAGCCAGTGTCCTGTGCCTGCAGTTGTGGGGGTGTGTCGCCACAGAATCGGCCTCCTCTACCGCTCTGCATTTCGGGGACTCAGGCTGGAGCTTGGGTTCTCCAGGTCCTAGAGCGTTTGTTGGTGTTTCTGAGGCCTGTAGGCCCCGTTCTGTTCAGGACTGAATCGGAAGGCTACGGTCTCGGCTCTTCCCCGCCCGGCCCATGGTGTCTCCCCAGTGCTGGCTGCTAGTCAGAGGTGCATCCGGGCTGTGGGGAGGGGCTGTCTGGGAACTCGCCTGGCTCCTGACAGGTCCCCAGGAGGCACCTCCTGGGTTTAAGGGCCCCTTATGGGGTACCCGGGGGTCCCTGCTGGCAGTGTTGGGTGAGAGCGCGGTGGGCAGGACACTGCATCACTGCATCGGGCCCCTCAGCCCCACCAAGAGTGATCTCTGAGTGTGCAGCAGGAATAAGCCCCAGATGTCACCCGCGGTGCCCCTCTTCCAAACAGACAACTACTCGGTATCAGCCTCCCGGGGCTGGTGGGCAGTTGCTCTTGGATGGACGCAGCGAGAAGCGGCGGCCAGGGAGGCTGAGTCAGGACACAAGGCCCCCTGGGGCCACACGGGGTGGGGGATGCCCCCCCGGGACACGAGGTGGGGGGCTTCAGGAGCCGTCGTGGCACCTGTGAAAAGCTGCCCATCCACGGCCCATGTGCCCCCCATGCTCTCCCTCTGCAGCACCCGGCGCCTGGCTGCAGCCGTAATGGTATTGATCACAACCTGTGTTCTGTTTATTGCGTCTCTTGTTCAGCTCTGATAGTCTTTTGTTGGCGCAAATGTTCTCTCCTCCAGCAAGCATGAGCCCTGATGTGGCCTTCCCTTCCTGACTCCTGAGCTGAAGAAGGTGCTGGACACAGGCGCTGCCCACCCGGGGCCCCTCTGACTTACCTCATTCCTGGACGCAAACTCCCTGTGGTGCCCTGCAGACACCCAGCCTCGCGTGTGCTTCACTGCAGATGCCTGTGGAGACCCTCCTCCAACATGTGCTGGCAGCACCCAGTGTGGGGGAGCAGGGCTGGGGGGCATGGAATGTTCTTCCGGGTGGGGTCACAGTTGGGTCCTCCCCCTTTGCTGTTGGGAAGAGGGAGACACCTTGGTTCAGGGTGGCCGGCCACAACCAGGGGTGGTCATGGCCGGCTCGCTTCGTGTGGGATTCTGTGTATTTCAGAGTTGATGATTATTGCCAAGTGCCACCCAAAGAGGGTCCACGGCATCACCCAAAAGGCCTGGGCCCCATGCTCTGATAGAACTGGCTTGGCTGGACACTGGCCCTTGCCCACGCTACCCCGTCAGTCCCCTGAAGGTGAAGGGCCCCAGTGTCCTTCTGGAGTTGTCAGAGCCCCCTGCAGGCTTGGCCTCACCTGGGCCCGCCCTGGATGCGGACACTGTCCCTTGCAGACTCTGCGCCCCGCTGACCCACCAGCAGCTGCGGCTCTTTGTTGCTTCAGGAGAAGATTCTGCTGTCCCTGGGGCTGCTGACACCCTCCCTCTCCCTGCGCCTGCCCGGCCAGCCCTGGCACACTCAGTGCTGTGCTCACGCTTCCCTGGGATTTCGGTGATGGCCTCACACGTCACACACCCTCTCTGCCTTGAGGGCCACTCTCCTGGCGCCATCCAGGGGCTGGGCCATGAATTCAGAGAGAAGGAAGACATAGGGGACATGAATCTGGCATGTGGCCGCGTTTGGAGAGGGTAGGGAAGTAGGGACGCCTCTCAAGGGCGTGTCTGGCAAAGACATCCTCCGACTGCAGGCTGGACCCCCTTTCACACTTGCATGCACACACTCGCGCATGCACACACAAACACACACGCGCACGCATGCATGCACCCACAGACATGCACACACACACATGCAAGGGCTGTGTACTAGCCCCTCACCTACAAGGAAGCATTTACAGAACGACAGAGACCCACTGGCCGGAAGTCCCCTGCAAAGGTACCAGTGCAACTGCTGAATAGTTCAGGCATAAAAGTAAGAACTGGATGTTCAGTAGCCAGATTTCTGCTTCAGTCAGGACGAATGTGGCTCAGATATGCCTCCGTGTTGAAGGATTCGCTACAAGAATCTGCTCACAGGGAAGCAAGCTGTTCCGGGAAGAATCACCAAGCAGTAGCTACTGGAGACGGTTTCTCTGGCTCCTGAGGGGCCGTGTCCTAGATTTAGACATGGCAACTAACTGCAGTTTTGCAGACACGGGTGGGGGTCCTTTCCAGCCTGCAGTCATCACTGAACGCTGCAGAAGGTAGACATGCCCACCCCGGGGGGAGAAGTTTGGTCTGTGGGTTCATTCATTCACCTGACAAACAGTACAGACCCTATGGAAGTGCGCACCCCCTTTCAAGTGACCACATGGCCCCCTGATGTGGACACTCAGCACAACAGAGAAAGGAAGAAGTGGTTCTATTTCACAGACGGGAAGCAAAGTCGCTGTGAGTCTCAGGCTCAACTTCATTGGAAGGTTTATTATGTAGACTCTGTCCCCAGTCGTCTGTTATCCCCCTTCCTTACAGCCACCCACCATTCATCAGCCACCCACTCACCACCTACCATCAATCACCCATGCACCATCCATCCATCACCTCCACCATTCACCATCGATCCGTCACCCATCATCCATAATCCATCATCCATCCATCCAGCCACCCAGCCAGCCAGCCACTCATCTATTCATCCACCATCCATCCATCATCCATCCATCTACCCACTATCCATCCACCATCCATCCATTCATCCATATGTCACCCATCATCCATCCATTACCCATCATCCCCATTATCCATCCATCACCCCTATCATCCACCCAGCCACCCACCCATCCAGCCACTCATCTATCCATTCACCACCCATCCATCATCTATCCATTCATCCACCCATCCACCCACCCATCCATCCATCCATCCATCCATCATCCATCCATCCATCCGCCATCCACCTATCAATTTATCACCCATTATCCATCCATCAACCCCATCATCCATTACTCCTACCATCCATCCAGCCACCCACTTATCTAGCCACTCATCTACCCATCCACCACCCATCCATCATCTATCCGTCCATCTACCCACTACCCATCCATTCACCATCTACCCACTATCCATCCACTGTCCATCTATCCACCATCCATCCATCCATCCATCCATCCACCCACCCATCCATCCATCTACCATCCACCCATCAATCTATCATCCATCCATCTACCCACTATCCATCCACCATCCATCCATCCATCCATCCATCCATCCACCCATCCACCCACCCATCCACCCATCCATCCATCCACCCATCCATCCATCCATCCATCCATCCATCTATCCACCCACCCATCCATCCATCTACCATCCACCCATCAATCTATCATCCATCCATCCATCCACCATCCATCCACCCATCAATCCATTCATTTATCCATCCACCCATCAATCCATTCATTTATCCATCTACCCACTCTCCATCCCCTCGCCCAGACCTTGGGGTTTCTAGTGCGCCCAAGCTCTTTCTGGTACTTCTGATAATACATGCCCTGGTACTTCCAATAACATTTCTGATAATTCATATCTGCGTTATCACTTCCAATAATACACTTCTGGGCTGGCCCAGGTCTCAGAGGACCGAGTGAGAGTGACTGTTGGTGTTATGGTCCCAAACACAAGATTGATCTTTGGAACCAACCTGAAAAGATTCTGGGTGTTAGTTGTGATTCCTCACCCAACCTCACCCAGCCTGGTGAGAGGAAAGCGCTGAGCCCCTGGCAGCGTGGGGGCCTGAGGAGCCTGGATGGCCTTGGACGTGGGCATGTCCATTCAGCAGCCGCTCACCAGCTCTGCAGGGGCAGAAGCCTGCTGGGGTCAAGTTTCTGACCACACACACGCCTCCCCTGCTGCATCCTGTGGGCAGTTGCTCCGGGCAGCCGGCGCTGGGAATGCCCCAGAGATCTGGATTCAGCCCTTAC